GAGTTTCTGGAGTGCTCAAATAAACTGGCCTTTTTCCCGAACGCTCCTCTGGTCTCCTGCTCGTGAGGGATTCATTACAATATCGTAACATGGTTTAGATTTCTAAATAAACATTCACCTCGTCGCTAGATAGACCTACTCCTGAAAAACTTGTGCGCAAGGCTTTTTGTCCCTACGAGGCCACCGTCATTTACCCGACGGGAGGGGTGAGCGAGTGAGTCCTGCAATCTAGAATTTGACCACTGATGTCACTGTTTCCAACGGTTTTCAACCCATTTTACATACTGGCCCTTTAATGTCATTGTATTTTTCACCTTTTATTGCTATTGTATCTCTGTTTTATTGAGTGTACATGAACATCAACCTGCCCAGGGACAAAGGATGGAAATTAGCCAATGGCTACAATCCCTACATATTTACATGCAAGTGTCTATTAATATGTACTGTCCCTGTTATTTAAAAAAAATAAATAAATTAAATTAAAAAAAATATGCTGCTGAAGCAACAACATACACTTTAATGTATTTCCCCAAGAAAAAAATAGAGGAACGGGGGAGACAGCAAATTGACTTTGTAAAAAAATCAAAATTCAAAAGGTGCGTGAGAGAGACGTGGATCAAGAGAGGAAGGGCGAGGGGCCCACAGACGCTGCTTTTGCATTGGGCATGGAACTTGCTGTTATGCCTCTGAGTATATTCCTACATGATATCATAGAAAATCTTATTTATTTACAAGAACTCTTTTTAGCGTGTCGATCTCTTACCTGTAATATTCCTCCTATGGGAACGTATGCATCAAGTCAAAAACACTAAATATGGCAGCGTTCTACCTCTGTGACACCAAAGTGGAGCCAAAAATATGCCCTTATCATGGAGTCCAAGGCTATAGGGAACATTTTTTAAAGGGAAACAGAATTTGACACTATAGCCCGACTGATACTGGATTTTAGAGGCCATTACCGATATCAGTGAGTTTAAAAAGTTTTCATCACTTGATCTGATATGACAGGCAGAATGGCGACCAGGCATAAGAGTCATGTTTGAAAGTATTTTGACAAAGTAAATAAAATAAAAGTGCTATGCAAGCTATGTTAGGTTAAACTTGCGTATCATAGCTAATATTTAATTTTGCTTTGGTGTTCATTTTAGACCTTATTATCATGTTAGATTTATTTATTTATTTATTTTGCGAGTACTTTATACTGATAATTTAATATTTGCTTTAAAGGCCCATCCTTAGAGATTACTCCTCTTGGCCCCTATCCCCCTTTTGAGGTTACAACCCAAACTCCCAAGTGTCCCTAAATAAACTCAATGTTCTGGGACAAATTAAATCAGAACAGTGACTCACAAGATATTATTTAGTCAGTATTATAAATAGTTAGATGGAGGCTAAACCACAGATTGAACCTTTGCCCTTTTTATATTTGACGTTTTTTTATATGCCAGTCAGACAAATAGGGTTCTCTGTCTCCCTCTCTGTCTCTTACTTACACATACAGAGTGTCATTTTCTTGTCTTGAGCTTGTCGTCCTGTCCCTGCAGGTGAGTGTGATGGTGGTAGCAGCAGGACTCTCCTGCGTGGCGGCAGTGTTTATATCAGGTTACTCCTGTCTGACACTTACCTACGGTGAAGAGGATGAAGATGTCTTCCACCACCACGACAGTCCTCAAGTGGTAACCACCACACACATGCAAACACATACACACACACACACACGAATACACACGCATGTGTTGATGCACTACCACAAAAGATTTCCTTTAAGTGATACCCACTGTTTATTTGGTGAATGATGATTACCTTCCTCACAGCAGACCTGGTTAACACGTGTGTAATAAGTGAAATTAATAGTGTTCAGGCACTGGTATTGAATGGAGCCTGTGTTAATGTTATTAGATTTTCTTGCTGTGACAAGTCAAAATGCTCTAAGAAAGTTTTTTTTTCTTTTATTGTCAAAGGTAGTGATTCAGCTTGATAGTCACTGTGAAGACCACAGTTCAGTTAATTGTTGAGGTGTAAGGAGTCCACAGCAGAACGACATTGCATTACCCATGTGTCTTTAATGAGGGAGTTTAAATGGAGTTGAGTTTAAATCAGGAAATAAATTAAATAACTATATTTTTTCTATTTTTGACATAGGTGCTTCTAATTTCTCATCAGTGTTATTACATTGTTAACGTGGCAAACAAATTTAATACACATAATGTCTTCATCGACTCTGGAGGAGCTTTGTCGAGTCTGAGAAAATAACCCTGATGATGTCATCAGGGTTATCTCAGTATAGATTAACTACAGAAAGCCTGCGCTACAAACTGGGGGTATGGAGGTTTAAATACAGGTGTTTCTCAGGATCAGAGATTCTGATGAAAGACACTTTCAAATTGCATTATGGGAAGGGATCTAGCATTAGTGGAACTCAACCCACATTAGAGATAAAGATATCAGTCTGTGCTCTTTCCATTTAAGCCATTATTTTTAAAAATCAGTCTCTTGCAAGTCCTTAAGCTTTATGAAAGAGCAATGCTAAAATGCTTAAAGGAAATGGCCACTTTAGAATGAAAATACAGACAGTACTTACTGACCCTCATGCCGACAAGAAGTCCACTGTAGTTTTTTAATCCACAAAACTTGTTCGGGGTATTGGAGGATAACAGCTACACTTGAAGTGCATGGAACCCACGTCCAAAATCATTTTGAAATGACAGGCGTGCTGTGTTTACATGGCAACTTGTGTGAGACTCGAGAATGTTCAGAGACATTTTGTTCTCGAGTCTCGCGAGTTGCAGGCTAACTGACCACAGTGAGAAATTATGCTCTAAAAGTGGAGTAAATTATGTCTTTCCAAGTCAATTTTGCATGCTGCCGCTTCAGGGCACTTGGATTATGACGGACGAGCCGTTCTGACGTTGTTGAAATGCATTAGCAGAGTTTTATTACATTTTCAAAATGATTTTGGACGTGGGTTCCATGCACTTCAAGTGTATGGAATAATCCAGCTACCTGTTATCCTCCAATACTCCGAACAAGTTTTGTGGATTAAAAAACTACACTGGACTTCTTGTCGGCATGAGGGTCAATAAGTACTGTCTGTATTTTCATTCTAAAGTGGCCAAGACTGAAATCTGTGTGCGACAACATCACTGCTATGCCTACGTAATACAGGATCCATCCATTCTTTGTCTCTCTGCTCAGACGTTTGTGCTTCATCGGATGGTGAAAGGGGCCAACGCCACCATACTGCTGACCTGCACCATCGGCCTGGTTCTCTCTTCTCTCATCGCCTATGTGGGCTGCCGTAGTCTTCCCAGCTGTGGCTGCTACGATGCCAGAACGGGATTGGTAAGGAAGAAGACAGTCACCACAAATAGCTTTAAAATGACAAAAAAAAAAATCAAATTTTTCACTTTTGATGTACTGTATCAACCCTTTGCTAAAGCCTGCTTCTCCCAGTTACTGTTGCTGCCCATCAAACTTTCTGCTCTCCGAGGCACACATGTCATTTCCACTGATAATGGTGGCAGATATACTGCAAAAAAATCTTAGTAATTTTGAAACAATGGAGTCTTGATTTCAGACAGAGGTAGAAAAAGCAGCTTTTCATTTCTAGCCAGCGACTGTTGGTTTTATCTGCTGAAATTTAAATTGTCACTGGCGGCTTGCATCAGCTGTAGCTAGCTGACTAATTAAGCTAATATTAGCTCTATGAGTTAGTTGTACACTGTTGCCAGCTTCGTCATGTTAAAACTACAATCCTCAACATACACACACGATGGCTACATATATGTTATTGTGGTAAAGCTGCATGACTCAAAAACAGAGTAGCAATCAGAATCAGAAAAAGATTTAATACTATGTAGGTTTTTCCCTTACAAGGAATTTGCATTGGCGTTTGGTGCATACAGTAAATGTAATAAGGGGAAATAAAACACGATAAAAAACAATAACATTTTTGTACTTGCAGTACAGAGCTAGTTAGCCAACCATCCTCTCTTGGATGAGGTTTCTTCTAACGCGATCTGTAACCCCACAAAATAATTTAGTTTGCTGATGATGTGCTGCTTGGCCTTTGAAGTAACACTACATTAGCATTAGGCCAGCCGTGCCTACTAATGTTAAGCTAGGATAGGACAGTTGCTGTTTAGAGAAAGGGTTTAGCAGAGAGTCAAAAGAGTGCTTCAGGTATGAGTCCGAAAACCTGGAAATGAGTTTTAGCAGTTCCGGTTCCTTTGTCTTGAGGTCTTTAGATTTTTGGTTAGATGCCTAAAATAAGGTCTGTGGTTAACACAAGCTCAAGAGACTTGCGCGTTTTTTCCTTAACATAAACTACGTCAGTAAATACCTGACTTGTGAATTTTGAAGATGTTAGGTCTTAAAGAAGGCGGTTGCTAGCAAGTGGCTAAATGAGACTACAGAACGCCATCATGCTGAACATAGCTTTCCAGTCTTGTTTTGGTGGTGATGTTAGGTCATGTGACCATAGTGTAGTTTGTTTAAAGCCTAATGTTAGCTTTTTATTTTCAGCAGTTTCATTTAGGCTTCAGGAATCATAAAAGTGGTGTCAATTTGTAAAGATTATCTTGCTGAACAAATCATAATAAGTATCATAAACATTTGTTTACCACAGAGCTTATTTTCTGCAATAATCCAAAATGGAAAAATCCTTAAGGCTTTCTGAAGAGAGACCAGGGGGGCGCTAACTTCTGCGTTTGCCTAAAGAAAAACATCCTCCCTTGAGCCCTCTATAGTAATCGTGTCAGACTGTGTACTTCAAACATCATAATCACAAAGATACCTCTATTCAGGCCATAATATTGTTTTGTGAATATTGCTTTCCAATAAGAAACTCCACTTCAGTGGTCTTATTAGTACTGCTTTGCCTCCACTTGAATAAATCCTGTTGATTCTCTTGTGAACAGGCCTTTTTCCTTTTTCCAAGGATGTGATGTTTTTTTATCTTGTGTGTGTTTGTGTGTGTGCAGGAAACACTGGTTCCTCAGTGTGACCCTGGGGACACTGAGATGGTTTGTACATGGCAAGGTAAGAACTAATGTTGTCTATAAACTAATACTTGCCCATAGCTCCTGCTGGTATTCATGTGTTTGGCAGTCCTGTGATGTAGTTCTCGTCTGTGTCCAGCAGGAGGTGATGACAGGCTTTTCAACTCTCCTGCTCAGTCCACTGAGCGGAGCACCACTGAAGAAGAGGAGGGTCCTTCCAAACTGCCTCCGTACAGCAGACTGACCTGACACACATTAGAGAGACTGGTCCTAAACAGAGATATGGATGATATTTCGTTGAAGTTGTGCCAATACATTTCTTATTTTTTGTGGATGGATGGAGGGACGAGACTCAACTGAAGACATCAGATTGGAATGTTGTAAAGAGATATTTTGGGGAGAGATGAGTCGTCTGTGCTCTTGATTAGACCATGAACTTTAGACTGTCTTTATTTCCTCTTTGACCAAAGATTTCTGTAGCCAAAGAAGTTGAATATCTGTATATGTAACATGTCAGAAATGAAATGCATTATTACCTGTATGCTGTGTAAAAGTGAGCTATGTTCCCAGTAAGACGTTATATGTGTATTTAATAAATAAAACCTGACTGTGCTGTTTTGAGCATTGTGTTTTTAAAGAGACATGACTCCATGTTGAAATGTTCAGGGTCATTTATTGCAAGGTTACACATGACAAAACCATTGCAACTACTTGTCCCCAGTAGTTTCATTCATTAGTCACTTTGTGATTTGATACCATTCTGCAATTTAGATTTTTCTTTCTGAGCATTTGCAATGAGAGATACAGTAGCATTATCTGTTGTTCATGGCTGTAGTGAAGAAAAGGCAGAGGACGTTATATTAGGGCCTGATGTGAAGGTGGGGGGGGGGGGGGGTTATCAAAAACAAAGGACACTTGAAGAACAGAAGAAAGCAGCAACCGAATCTGAAACAATAAAACACCCACATGATGTCTTCCACTGTTGTCACATCAGTGATGAGCCACAAAGATGCAGCTAGCACAGCCTGTGTCTGTTTTCCTTCCCATCTGCGTGCATAGCCTCTGAACAGTGAGTCCTGAGAAAAGGCCGTTTGGTTTGACAGATAAACATCAATGTACAGCGTGATCAGCAGAGGAGCCACAGGACCAGCTGGGGCCGCAACAAACATCCAAAACCACTAAGACACAAAGCTTCAAACTATCATGGTATCATGGCTTATCAAACAGTGTGTTCTTTTATCATACAGTGGTGTTTGCAACATGCTGACTATTGTATCACAAGCTTACATACAGGATAAGTAGTGGGTATAGGCGTCCATGTACATGTAGAGGTGCACACTACAAAGTCTTACACACTGAGAGGTATGTGTTTTCACTGTTTGATTCACTGGCTAGCCTACACAGTACTAGTGCTCAACAATCTGGCTATTTTGGAGTCTTTCATATGCAGAAGAGGGAACAGGCAAACACAACTAACAAAGGCAATTCTTGCTAAATTTCTAACATCTTCCCTTTCCATCCTGTATCATTAAACTCCCGGTGACATCGTCCCATCACTGAGTTCAAGAACAGGTTCATAATGTGTAGCAGACCTGTTTAACAGATGGGATTCAAAGGATTCGCCTTAAAGGTTCATTTATACTCCCATTACGTATGAAAATAGACATTCATGCATCCTTTATGTTGACATGGATACATCCACTAGAGGACAGAACAAATCTATTTAGCTAATGTTAGCCAGCTTGCTAATAAATACTATGACATTTGTTTATTGGTACAGTTTCTTCTTTTCCTGTTTCCTGACTCACTGCCAGCCAGGTGCCATCTCTCATGTGGGGCAGCTTGTATATTTTTTGACCAGTATCATACTACTGATTAAATACGATAACAATCAGTATCTCCTCCACACGTATCCCTTTGCTAATGGTTGAGGCTTCAACTTCACCAAAGTTCGCCAAAGTTGAACTCCATGTGATGCTAGGACGCAAATTTGCTTTGCCATCGGAAGCGAATGTTTTACCCATCCCTTCACCTGTATTAATTGGAAGGGAACGATAGCCAAGTATTTGCCAGTGTTAAGACTACGGACAAAAGGCTCTGTCCGTGTCTGTATACCGTATAACATGAAGCATAAATTAACCTTTTCCATTAAATGACAACATCACATGCTGCCAGTCTGCAGAGTGTTAGCTTAGGTGCTGCATGCTAACAAACTGAGTTTGACAAAAGGTGCTATCCCTCAAAAACAGGTGCCTCTACCTGTGGTAACTTTTTTTGGCTACTTGCGGGCAGTAGAAACAAGCTGTGAACAAAACCTTATGGAGCTGGAGAGCTTACTGTTAATATGCCTGCCAAGCAGGGCTAGCACTACAGACACACAGCTCTCAGAGTAATCACATGGACCTGACCTGACTGGACCAACCACATTGAATAGTTTAGTAAACATTGATTCGCTTGAATCCTAACTTCAAATAAATATCAAAAAGACAGTGACTGAGTATTCCCTTTTGATTCCAAGTACGCAAGTGTGAAAATCTAGATGTGATTACTTAATGTTTTTCCCCAATGTTGTTCTTCAGCAGTATGAAAGATTAATATTTCTTACACCTAATACTTTTCCTTAATCGACTCTGAAATTAAGTGACCTTGCCAAGCATATGATACAAACAGAACATTATTACAAAATGAATTCCACATTTCTTTTAAAGGTTTTCGGTCTTTGGATTTAAAGAAACAGACTTAAAGGTACCCTGTGGAGTTTGTTAACAATAGTAGCAGCCAATATGTTTTTATGAGCACTTTGCTAGCATGTGCACGCTGCTGATGCAAAACACACCTTTGCAAGATTAATGATTTAAATAAATGATTGAAAGTTGTTGGTGATATTGCGATTAATTTAGCAGTTTATTTGCTAGATAGATAGTTTCAAAGTTTTTAAAACAGTGATACTCAACATACTGCCTGCGAGTTATAGGCGGCAGGTGGCCAGCCGACCATTTTCTATTTTACAATGAAAATAAACTGGTTCACAGTGGGAATTTGTTTGTACGTTGAATTTAAATAAAGTGTCAGAGTGCATAAAAAAGCACCGCAATAGAGCTTGCTTATTAAAATGGAATGCCAAGAGAGGATCCCCTGGACCCCGACATAGGCGCGGGCCAAGCCCTGAATGCCCTCAAATCTTAGAAACGCCCCTGCATACACCTGCACAGGGCTGCTGTGGCTTTATTTGCCTCTTGGCAAAGATCATTGAGGACAGCAAATGTCGAATATAGTTGTCGAAAGACTTTATATACTGATGAATATGATTAATATTTGTTTATTGACTGGCCCCTGGCCTCCTGTCATTTCGCAAAAGTATCCTCCAGACAAAGCAAGTTGAGTATCCCCGATTTAAAACATTGACTGTGAAAGTATTTTTTGAACACGGAAATGCATTCAACAAGTTTGTTAGGCTTCAAAAATACACATAATGTGTTTTGATGAGAAACACTGAATGTAAACATGAAAACTCAGCAGGGCACCTTTAATGACACAGCTGAATTAAAACAGAATATACTGTTTTATATTATAAAGTCTGTTATTATGTCCACCATCAGTCTGCATGAAGAAATGAGTCTGCTTTCCAATAACACCATACTAAAGCTGTAAAGAACGACATTTCTATGGCATTTCCCTCCTCAGAATCCCTTATTTATTAATGCCACTGTGTCTCTGTGTTTTCTGTGGACACAGAGCACATGAAGAGAAGTGAACTGAAACTTCAGAAGTGTAGAATCAGGACTTAAATTATTATCGAACAGGAAGAAGTGATTTAGAATCTGGAATTTGGCCCCTTGTTCAGGATCATTTCTGTGAACCAATGCCAGATATTGGCATTCAAAAACAACAGTCATACTGCAAATACTACCCCAAAACCATTGAAAGTCATATATAAAGTTAAGCACAGGCATTGGAAAAAAATGTTTCCTCTTCTAATGGAGAATTTGTTAATGTGTTTGTGCTGATTGTGAAGCCATTTTGCTGGATCCACTCTCCCTTTCCAGACCTTCACTCCTTTCTCGGCTCCTCCCGTCTTTAATCTCTTGGATCTTGTGCAGCCACGAGCTGAAGTCTTCTTCCTCTTCACTGCTGTTTTTCTCCCTCAGCAGCTGCTGCAGCCCCAGCTCCTGGTCCGATCTCCCCCATCATCCCTCCTCCCGCTCAGGTTGATGGTACCCCCTGATCCCCCAGGTGGCTGGCTCAGTACCAGAGGCTTCTGAGACTTCAGCTTGTGGGCAACCGTCATAAAAATAGCCTCAACGTGGTCACTGTTTCCTCCACCAGAGTTTCCCTCTCCCTGGCTGCTTGGGTTCTTTGCAGACGTCTCAAACAGAGGCATAGAGTGGGCATCCGCAAACTGTTGAGCCACATCTGTGCTCACTTGCACAGAGTCTTGAAGGTCACACTTGTTTCCAACCAGGATTCTGGGTACCTCTGTGCCCAGTGCGTGCTGCTTGCACTCCTCAATCCAGGCTGGGAGGCTGCGGAAGCTGGCAGCATTGGTGACATCATAGACGAAGACAACAGCGTGAACGTTGCGGTAGTAGTGCTGCACCATGGACTTCCTGAAGCGCTCCTGACCTGCAGTGTCCCACAGCTGGATCTGCAGAGGGACAGTGTGGAAATGGATCAGCAGAAATGGATCAAATCCTATTAGAAGACCCAACCAGCAATTAAAGGGACAGTCCACCCCAAAATCAAAAATACACATTTTCCTTCTTACCTGTAGTACTATTTATCAGTCTTGGTTGTTTTGGTGTGAGTTGCTGAGTGTTGGAGAGATCAGCTGTAGAGATGTCCACTTTCTCTCTAATATAATGGAACTAGATGGCACTCAGCGTGTGATAGTCAAAGTGCCAAAAAACACATGTAAAAAACTCAACAGCAATGTCTCTTTTCAAAAATCATGACCCGGTTACTGAAGATAATCCACAGACCTTGTTGTGAGCAGTTTCATGTAGGAACTATTTTCTTTCTGCTGAACTACGCCCACCAACTGTATCACTGCACACAAGGAAGCGTGCATCTGCTGCTAACTAACCTAGCACCACTAAGCTAGCTAATGTTACAGCTCGGCCCAGGAGAACACCATTAGTATGGCTGGCAGGTGTAATTTGGTGCAAGAAAATAGTTCCTGCATGAAACTGCTCACAACAAGGTCTGTGGATTATCTCTAATAACTGGGTCATGATTTCTGGAAAGAGACGTAGCTATTGAGAGTTTTTCAAATGTATTTTTGTTTATTTAGTGATTTGGTGCTTTGAGCACCACAAGCCGAGTGCCATCTAATTCCATTATATTGGAAAGTAGGCAGACATCTCAGACAGCACTACAAGTAAGAGGAAAAATGTGCATTTTTGACTTTGGGGGTGAACTGTCTCTTTAATTAATTCTAATAGCAAGTATTGTGTGTGTCCAAACTTGATTTATCTTTTTGCCTTGTTCCATGACACACACTGTTGCATTGAGTGACAACACATTGTTGGTTTTGATCTTTTTCATGACATAACTAAGCAAACTTCAAACCAAACTCCATTCAAAAGTGTGGAAATTTAAAGGTACACTGTGAAGGGTTTTTCTAGAAAGACCATGTATCA